GTCATTACCAAATGAAGATCATTACTCATGTTTTTAATATCATGGAGTGTCATGCAATCATCAGAAATTATATCAGATGGCGCCGCCATATTGGATTACAAGATGGCCGCCAAAATAATGATATTTTTGTCAATATTGAGTCGTAACAGTACCTAGCACTGTCAATCAAAGACCGTTGCCCATGTTTTCGATATCAGGGACTACCATACAGCCATCAGAAATTATGTCAGAATGCCACCATTGAATTTCAAGATGGCCGCCAAATTAATTATTGATAATGTTGTAAATATCGTCATATCTATAACACCTAGCACTGTCAAAGATCTCTACTCGTGTTTTCGATATCCGGGAGTATCGGATATCAGAAATTATGTCAGAAGGCTGCCATATTGAATTTCAAGATGGCTGCCATATTGGATATCAAGATGGCTGCCAAAATATTTTTTTCCATATTTACATATATGTAAAGTACCAGCACTGTGAATTAAGATTGTATATATGTATAATTAGAAATATCATGCAATACATCTCATAATCATAGTAAAAACTGCTTATGGCAGTAAAGTAACACCATTTAGAAAGAAGTCCGACAACTGCCACGTTAGATTTCAGAATGATTGCCAATTAAGAAAGGTACATAAAGAAATGGAAATTAAAAAAAATAATAGAAAACAGTTAAGGAATAACAAATTGGTAATCAATCGAAAGTAATAAAAATTTAAAAAAATAAGTAAATAACTGTTTTGCATGGTATCAGAGCAAGTGCAGAGGGAGAGAGATAGATGCAGATATTAAACTTCGTTTATATTAAAGCTAGTTTTAGCATAAATGAAATTATGTAAACATAATTCAAATATTCAAATTAATGGTGTGAAGACACTAATATCGAATAGACCTCATGTCTGTGAGATGGCTAATAATCATTTTCAAATGACATATAAACATATGTAAATATTGAAAGGAAAAGAAACGAAAAAGAAAATTAAAGAAAGGAAAAAAAAGAACTTAAAGGAAAAGAAAAAACTGGAAAGGGAAAAGAAATAAAAAAGAATAGAAAATGAATATAACGGAGAAATTGAAAAGAAATAAAAGAAACTCAAGAAAATTTTTTAAAAGTATATAGATAACTTTAGCATAAATGTAATTATGTAGACATAAATTAAATATCACATTCAAGTAATGGTATGAAGGCAATATCGAATAGACTTCTAAATATCATTTTCAAATATGTATATATA